ATGTTTCTTGGAATCTATCTATTTCTTCTGTGTTATCAAATCTATGAGAGTAGAGGTGTTCAAAATAGGTGCTGATGATATTCTGCATTTCTACAGAGTCTGTAGTGATTTTACCTTTTTCATTCCTTATTGCATGAATTTGAGCTTTTTCTTCCCTTTTTTAATAAGGTTGGCTAGGGACTTATCAGTTTTATTTATTCTTTCAAAACCCAACTCTTTGATTCATTGATTCTTTGGATTGTTTTCTTAGTATTAATTTCTGCCCTGATTTTTATAATGTCCTCCCATTTTTGGCTTTGGGCTTGACTTGATTTTCTTTTTCTAGATGTTTGAGGTGTAGCATCAGGTTATTTATTTTTATTCATTCTATTTTCCTGATATTGGAACTCAGTGCAATAAATTTCCCTTTGAGGATAGCTTTCATTGTATCCCACAGATTCCTGTAAATTGTATTTGTATTTTTGTTTGCTTGTAGGTATCGCTTAATTTCTTCTTTTATTTCTCCTGTGACCTGCTGATTACTCAACAGTGTGTTATTCAGTTTCTATGTGTTTGTGGGATTTGTGCTGTATCTTTTATCATTAATTTCTAATTTCATGGTGAGATGATCTGATAACATACATGGGATAATTTCAACTCTCTTGCATTTATTTAAATATGTTATGTTGTCTAATATATGATCTATTTTAGAAAATGTCTATGTACTGCTGAGAAGAATTTGTATTCTGATGTTGTTGGGTTGAGCACACTGCATATTTTTATCAAGTCCATTTGTCCACATGTTTGATTAAGTTCTGTTAATTCTTTGCTGATTTTCTGTCTGCTTGATCTGTCCCTTGGTGTCAATGGTGTGTTAAGGTTTCCTGTTATAACTGTGTTACTGCTAATTTGGTTGTACATTTTTTAAATACTTTATATAACTGGGTTCTCTGGAATTTGGTGCATATATATTTAAGATTGTTATCTCTTCCTCTTGAAGTTTTCCCCTAAACAGTATATAATGACCTTCTTTATTGCTTCTGATCATTATTGGCTTGAAATTCACATTTTCTGCAAACAGAATAGCTACCCTCACTTTTGGGGGTGTTCCTGTTGCATGAAGTATTGTTTTCCATCCTTTGTCTTTCAGTCTGTGAGTATCCTTTTGGATTAGATGGGCTTCTTATAGACACAATATGGTTGGATGCTGCTTCTTGATCCATTCTGCCAGTCTGTTTTTTTTTTAACTTGGTGCACTGAGACCATTTACATTAATGGTTATAACTGTTATATCTTGGTTTATCTTTCACATGTTATCTTTCTGCTGTGAATCTTTATCTTTCAGTTCTGTTTAATTGTCTGCTTTGCTTACTGATTTTTTCCTAAGTGCATTTAAACTGTCTTTCAGTATTCTTAGTGGGGTTGGCTTGGTGATCATGAAGTTCTTCAGGTGTTCTTTGTCATGGAAGTATCTCATTTCTCCATCCATTTTGAAGGACAGTTTTGCAGGTTACATTATTTCTAGGTTGGAAATCATTTTCCTTTAGGATCTGGAACACTTCAATCTATGCTCTTCTTGACTTTATTGTTTGTGCTGAGAAGTCTACTGTGATTCTGATAGGTTTTCCTTTATAGATGATCTGTCTTTTCACTCTGACAGTTTTTAATATTCTATTCTTATGTTGGCTTTCTGGGATGGTGATTATTATATGTCTGTGTGTAGTTCTATTTTGGCTATGACTATTTGGAGTTCTATGTGCTTCACTGATCCTGATGTCAGATTTTGTTCTCATGTTTGGGAAATTTTCAGTTATTACATCTCTAAATATCCTCTTGACATCTTTTATGTTGTCCTCTTCTTTTTCATTTATCCCTATCAATTGTATATTGTTTTGCTTTGCATCATCTTGCAGCTGTTGAATTGTTATTTCCTGGTTGCTTGTTATTTTTTAAAGATATTGCCTTTCCTGTTCACTAGCTGCAATCCTGTCTTTGAGGTCTGAAATTCTATCTTTGCTTTCATTGAGGTGGTTTTGACAACTTTCAGTGGAATTTTTGATTTCCTGTATATCTCTTTGCATCTGCTTTATGTATTCTGTCTGTTTCTTATATTGTTCACCCAAGGGTTCTACCTTTTTGTTAAGTTCCTCCAATTTTTAAACTGTGTCTTCTTTAGACATGTTCAGCATCTCTTTCATTACTTTTATCATTCTTCTTTTTCCTGGGAGATTATTTCTAGTTTGAATTCCTTTAAAGCTTCAAAGAGTTGCTTCTTTATTGCAGTTGCTATTATCTCAGATATTTCAGGTGTATGGTATATATTTTCTTCTATGTACATAGCTCCTAAGGTTTCATGGGATACGCTCGAGTTCTGAGATTACATTTTGGTCTTTTGCTTTGTCATTTTCCTGTATTTCTATGCTTTACATGTTATTCCAAGGCTTCCTCTGGATATGTTGGAAATCGTCTCCCATGCCTTAGGCTCCTGGGACTGAATGGAAGTTGCTGAGCCGGGTCCAGTTAGGCCCTTAGGCCCTCCCATGCCACCTGCAGTGTTTTAGGTAGCTGGGCAGGCATCTAACCACTGTGAATGATGGGTTGAAGCTCTCCTTGGGTGAAGACCAATGACCTGGAATACACTTCACCTTCTCTGAGATCCCCAACCAGCCATTTCTTGGTTTTGGAGGTCACTGGGTGTGTCCTGGGCAGAGCTGAACCCTGCCAAGTGCAGCCTAGCTTGGCTGGGCTCTGGGTGGGTCCTTGAGCTCTGGAAGAGATTTTCTTAAAGTATACCCGGGGCTCTGGATGGCACACAGACTTGCCCCAGCAGGCTAATTCCCCAGTTTGGGAGGTCACTCAATGCTGATTCCTTAAAAGACTGGCCTCATGAGTCTGTAATCTCAAGCAGGAAATATCCTATGGCTCCTAGAAATTCACACATTTGCTTTCTAGTCATGGGGATTGGAATCTGTTGAAGGGCTTGCACCCGCTGGTAGGAAAGAGTTAGTTTTAAGTAAACTCTAATAACTAACTGTGGGGCATTTTGCTTAATATCAGCAGCCAGCAGTTACAAAGGCAATATCAATGGCTCTTGCATTTTTAGGTGCCACTGGATCTATGGGTATACAAATGTAATAGACCTCGAGCAATCTTTTTAGAAAGCCCAAGGGGGAATCATCATCTAATTGTCTCACCGCTGCTACCTTGGACAAATTGGTGGGTTTTCTGGCAGCCCTTAAAGGCTTCTGAGAACAACTGGCGATACCAGAGGAGAGCCTTCTTGACTCTGTTTGTCCAATTAGGGTGGGACAAAGGGAAAACACGGTTCTGGCATTTAGGGTCAGAGGACCGGTTTTCATATGGAATTCACACTGCCTTTTACCTCACAGCACGAATGTTCTCTCTCCCTTCTGCTGTAAACAGAACCTACAACATCTGCTGGCAGTCATCCCAAGTGGGATGATGAATGGAGAAGAAAGATCCTACCCCTTTTTAGAATATAATCTTATTTTAATGGAAACATTTTGCAGTAAAGGTTTACTGATCCAATTTTGTCAAATTCTGAATACATTTGTTTTTCTCTGTTTTGTAATTATTACCAGTCAATTACCCAATTACCTTTTTCTAGCTTTTTAGACAATATTAAAACATTTTTTAAAAATCCTTGAAGTCACTTTCTTAGTAGTCTAAAATATATTAAATCATTTTTTGTCTTTTTATCACCTTAAAATGGTACACATTAAAAACTGTAACTTTTTTAAACTGGCTCAATAACGGTATGACCTGGCTTTACTTGGTAAAGTCAATATGATTTTAAAAATCATAAACATATACATGTATATTTACATTTTAACCAAAAAGAAAAATATTTTAAAGACATGCTGAGGTTGTACATAATCAGTTGAGGACTAAAAATTAAACAAGGCACCACAAAAGACAAGACCAACATTAAATACACAAACAAAGGTTTTTCTGTCCATGGTTCAGTGACCTAAAGGGAAATAAATTTTCATTATGACCCTTAAGTCCAATAAGCCACATGGAACCTGAAACAGTAGTTTAAGAGAAATAAAAGAAATCTGAATGTTAGTACTGAGGTAACAGATTCAAACAAGCAAATGGTTCCACAGTAAAAATATACCAAGCACAGAACCAAATGGACAAAAGTCCCACATCATAAATGGGCTAGAAGCCCTTTCTCAGAGGGCATCCCACTCCAGGACAGAAGAAGCCAGCCAAGCTCATCTGCAACTTTAAACGTGTGCACTCAAATTACAAAGAACAAAAGACCCAAATACTTACAGATGGTTCAAGCTGATTGATCATTGAAAAAAAAAAATGTGGGGAGGGGTCCCCATGTAATCCCGGATGAACCCCCAAACAAGGCCTCATGATGAAGAACAGTGCAAGATGACATCTTTTTTAAAAGAAGCACTTTTATTTTAGCTAGCCCAGTGACACAGTGCAGATGGAATTTGCAAAGCTGTGCAACTGAGTTAGAATTTTGAATGATTTGTATAATTCATTTATAATTAGCTCACAGATCATTAAGTACATAATGATGAGAAATAGAAATAAGGTGGGCCTTTGTTCCCTTTTACTTGAGGTCAGAGTCATTTCACAGTGGGCAGTTAGCCAATTCATAGCCCTTGTTCTGCCAATTCTAGGAACATTTGTCTCTCATAAAGGGAACAACTATTGATACAGCATCATTTGTCTTTTACAAGGGGAACAAAAGTTGACACAGCAAATGGGTTACTGGGGTGGGGGTACAGAACAGCAAGATGCTGTGTTCAGTTAAACTATAACTGTGTGGTTGGGGCTTGGTTCCTAGGGTGATAAGCATAAGTATGACACACTTAGGCTTGGAGCTGGGATGGAGCCTTGCTCTTGTCATTTTCCTGATAGGATCTTATAGCTGCAAATTGACTTGAGTCCTCAGGCCATAGCAAGATGAACCCCTGGTTGGAGACACTAAAAGAATTTGATGACTGCCTGAGTGACTTCTCTAATCCATACAGGGAGCATGGGAAAGTCCAGTGCATCATGGAGCCATACCTCTGCCTGCCTCCCACAGCTGCTGGTGAAAGCAGCCAGCAGGGCTCAAACCAGAGCCAAGCCATGCCACCCTCCAGGTCCCCAAGATGATTTGTGGCTCCTCTGATATCCCCAGGAGTGTGAACACCCAGAATGCAGCAACAGCCCCAGATGAAGCCATGGAAGCAATCCTTGATGAGCCGACTGAGACTTTTCTTCAGAAGGCTCACGCCATGACACATGAAGAGAACTGGCCCACAGCAGACTACACAAGCACCCTTTCTCTGGCATCCCCCAGATATCACTCCTTGATTGCCCGAAGACCCATGTCTGCACAAGCAAGCTGACTGTCCCTGAGGGTGGTGGCCAGATGCAGGATATAAGGGGTCAGAAGACTCTCAATGGCATCCAGATGAGTACATTGTTGGGAGGTCACATCATCAGCCTCAAGGAGAATCAGATCCTCTCTGGGACACCGATGAGAGTTGCCTTGGGTCAGCAGATCTTTCACTTGGCTGCCATGGTAAACCCTGTTTGTGATCAAAGCCTCTATGTGAAGAAGATTACAAATGCCTCGATTGGTCAGAGGTTAATGGGGACCAGATGGTGACTTTAACCAATGGTCAGAAACTCAGTGGAGGATATCAGCTTGTAGCAGTGCCATGACTCATAGACTTGCTGGCAATTACTGGCATCTAGGAACAAATCCCAGAACAGAATGGGAACTTCCAGATGAAGAGGTACCCACTGCAGACGAATTCCCAGAGATCCAGGCCCTATGTCTGCCCACACAAGTGCTGCGAAAATCTTACATGATGCCTACTCACCTGCGTATCCACTAGCACACACCCAATGGTAAGTGAGGTTTTGGGTGCCAGGGAGGTGCATGTGGCCCTGAATGGGTGTGTTTACAAAGCTTCACAGAGCTCCCTGGGCATTCGTGGTTTCCACTTGTATACTGTTGATGGGCCTTCAATGCAGCTTCTCCCCCATGAGAGCTTCACGCTTATGCTATGCTCTACCAGAGAGCTTCATCTCTAGCTATCTTTTCCTCTTCCTTCCTGTCCTCCACACCTTGCTTCTTGTTCTTCCAGCTCATTTTGTTCTACAACTCTTCCTCTTCTCCAGCTTCCAATCTCTTTCACCCTGTCTCTCCCTCTCCCACTCCTTCCTACTTATCCTTTCCCTGGTTCTTTCCCAAATGACTGCCTCACACCCCAGCCAGCTTGACAAGCATCTCTTGTGCACTCTCTCTGTCTCTCTCTGTCTCTCTCTCTGTCTCTCTCTCTGTCTCTCTCTGTCTCTCTCTCTGTCTCTCTCTCTGTCTCTCTCTCTGTCTCTGTCTCTCTCTCTCTCTCTCTCTCTCTGTCTCTCTCTCTCTCTCTCTCCCTCCCTCTCCCTCCCTCCCTCCCAGGCCAGAAGCCCTATGTGTGCAATGTGCAAGAATATGAGTGGAGATTCAACTGCTCAGATGAGCTGAAGTGACACATGAGAAGCCACAGTGGGGAGTGACCCTACATGTGTCACATCTGCCAGAAGAAGTTTCTGAGGTCTGATCACCTAACACAGCATTAGAGAGTCCACAACTGATCTCCCCGCCAACTGGCACCCAGCAGTCTACCAGGAACATTGCATACTTGGGACATTCCCCCTGAGCCTTTGCTCTTGCTTCCTACCCATCCCTCTACCAATCCCTAATAAATAGCTTACACCTGCCAGCTCTCTTCTCTTTCATTATTTGCTCAAGAAAGGGAAAAGGCTTTTGTGGCTTTGGCTGTAGAGACTTAGCACTGTGCACATTCAGAGTTATAGAAGCACTCTTGCTTCATCTCCCTCTCTAGGGCAATGGTGCACCTGGGCTCTGCATCTCAGGATTTGCTCTCTAGATGCAGTACTTGTCTAATACACTTGATCCACATTTCTGCCCCAGTGGTTTTCTCAGCTGGACTATTTCCTGTAAGTCTTTCAATCCCACCTCTGGCATGAAAAGTGAAAGACTCTTTTCCTTGACCTCAGCTGAGCACGGTTGTCGTGGTTTATGTTTGTGGCCCCCAGCCTCATGATTTTCATTGTGCATTTGTGATGGTTCATTGTCTAATGCTTGGATTGATGGTGTCAGTACTACACCCACAAAGGGGTGGAACCAGGATATAATGTAATGTGTAATGTAATGGCAGGAAGAAGGTGTGTCTTGCTCTTTGGTGGTTCCTGCTTGCTGTTTGCATTCTCTGTGAACTGTGGCCCTCCCATGCCAGCCTGCCTTGGAGCCAACTGAGTATGGACTTAAACTCCAAAAGCTATAAGAAATAAACCTTTCCTTTCCCAGTTTTGGGCTACAGGTATTTTGTCTCAGTGATGAGTAAAAATTAACTAAGAAAGAATTTGGTACCAAGGAGTGGGGTCGTTTGCTGTGACTATACCTGACCATGTTTTTTGAGAGTCTTTGGAAATGGCTTGTGGGCAAGTTTGGAAAGGTCAGACATGTTGCCTGGATGCATAGAGCTGGAGCAACGTAGGTTGTTCTGTAGAGGAGATTCTGGTCAGAGCTCAGGAGACCAGAAGACTGATAGAAAGCCTCATGGTAAAGACCAGGCTTGGGAGGTTTCAGCTGGGAAGAAGGACTGCATTCCCCATGATGTGTGTTATGGCTTGGCAGAAAGTTTGTCTGCATTTTGCTCCTGCCCAGAGACTTTGCCTGAGACTGAGACAAAGGGCAATGGACTGATTAATATTGAAAAAGAAATTGAATATTGAGTCTGTGGCATGGCTATTGTTGGGGCTTTTAGCCTACTTTGCTGAAAATCAAGAGCAAAGAGCCCAGCAGGATAATTTGCAATTCTGTGATATTGGCCAGAAGGAAAATGCCAGGAAAGCTGTGTATTGTAAAGACAGAGTTGAGATTTTGATTGCTGAAGAGAAACAGAGATAAGAAAGATGGCCCTGGGGCATCCCAGGAAGAGGATCCCCCCACACTTTGCAGCCTCACTGCAAAGGTAAAAGAATTTGCTCAGAGGAGAAAGCTGCAGAGCACCAGGTTTCAGAATGTCGACAGAGGCCATATGAGGTCCCAGAATGGTGAAAGAGGCCACATGACATTCCAGAATGACAGCAACATAGAGAAGCTTTGCCTCACAATCAGTAAAAAGAGCCCTGAGATCCAGGCAACTGACCCCTACAGCTGAGAGAGAGAAGCCGGGCTACTGCTCCAGCTAGCAGCAAACCTTAAGGGCATCCACAAGGTGCTGATTTTAGGTGCAAAGAAAATGCACAAATTCTGAGGGTAAGGCAGCTACCTAAATTGCAAAGGGTCTGGCAGGGCAAGCAATGTGTCCCTGAAAGGGAAACTTGTGAAGATGTAAAGGTAAAGCCAAAGGTATAGTGGAGACCCCAGAAGTTTGGAAAAGCCTGGAATGTGAATGACCCGAGGGAAACTGCAAAAAGCGAGCAGAGAAAATTTAAGAGAAAAGCTGTGGGAGTTGAAATTGCCAGAAGTGCTGTGGGGGTGGAATCACCCAAGTCTTTTGGAGCTTGAAACCAGTTTGCTTCAGATGCTGAGCATGGAATTCTAGGACTTAATGTTTGCCTTGCTGGATGTTGGACTTGCTTTGTTTTCAATGCTTTATATTTCCCTGCTTGTAACTTTTGGAATGGTAATGTTTATCTTGTGCCTTTGCATTTCAGGAATGTTTAACCTTATTTCATTTGTACAGGGGGTTACAATTAAGAGCTTGCCATAGATCTTGGAGGAGACTTGGAACTTGGACTTTTCCTCAATGCTGAAACTTAGGACTTTGGCAACTCTTGGAGGTCGACTAAATGTCTTTTGCAAAAAGTAAGTTCATGAGTACTGGGGGCCAGGGGAGGAATGTCATGAAATATGTCTGTGGCCCCCAGGCCTCATGAGTTTGCACTGTGCATTTGTGATGGTTCATTGTCTAGTTCTTGGATTGATGGTGTCAGTGCTACACCCACAAATGGGTGAAGCCAAGATGTAATGGAATGGCAGGAAGAAGGTATGCTTGCTCTTTGCTGGTTCCTGCTTGCTGTTTGGAGCTGCTGTGAACTATGGCCCAACCATGCCAGCCTGCCTTGGAGCCAACTGAGTATAGACTGAAACCCCCAAACACTGTAAGAAATAAACATGTCCTTTCCCAACTTAGGGCTTCAGGTATTCTGTCTCAGCAATGAGTAAAAACTAATTATGACAGTGGTGGTGTGCAATTGTGTTTCTAGATAACTGGGAAGCTGAAGCAGAAAGTCAACAAATCCCAGATCCATCTGAGTAAATCCTTTATTTCTTGGATTCTATCCTCTTTGGCTTTCACATGGTGTGACTATGCAGTTGAGAAAGAACTCTGAATCACTGCAATCATCTTGCACCCGTCTCTCAAGGAGGTGTGTGTGCATGGGCGTGTGAGCCACCAAACACACTTAGCCTGGCAATTTGGGAAGATGCTCTGACAGTACAGCTCACAAGTGGATGATGAGGTCCCTCAGTGGTAGAGGAGCCCTGAGTCTTATCTGTAAAATCCTGGAGACACGTCCCTTTCACTAAACTCTTAAGATAGCAGGCAAGGGGCAAGAAACTATGGAGAAAGATTCTTTGGCATGACGGTTTGGTCTGCTTTGGGTAGTGACTGATCAACTGCATGCCTTTGTGGCCTGTGGCTCAGCAATGGCCCTAACAAGGGTTGGGTGTGAAAGGAATGCCCTCAACTAGTGACACAGAATAAAATGGAGGATAAACGGAGGCTTGGGTACCATAGCAACATTAAATAGCCTCTTGCTAAGACCTTGTTTCCTTGCTCCAGGATCCACATTATAAGTTCCCCAACCCCTCTCAACAGCAGCCTGGCCTTGGAACTATCCTTTCAACATGTGCACATGATAATGACCTTTAGCACCCAAGCTAGAATTGCTGTGGACACCAACATTTTTCTCAGCCCCTCTTCCATCATTTCAATTTCTTTTCAGTGTTTTGAATACAGCAAGGGTGGAAATGAGAGGCCAAGAGTTTAGAGAGTGCAGTTGGCCTTACCTTAAGGCTGCCAAGTGGGCTAAGAGAAGACTCTATGCCCATCTGTGACCATCCAGATCTACATTATGGGACATGCACCTATAGGCAAAGGTCTGTGACTCATGAAACACAAGGAGACAAATGCTGATGACACATCACATTCAGAGACTCAAACAGTTTTCCTCCATTTTCAAGGCAACAATAAAGCATGCATTAAATGGTTTCACCTGCCATAAATTGTGACTGCCCTGTATGACACATTTCATTGAAACCCTATTGTATTCATTTGCACACAGTTTTGAGTGCAGTATACCAAGATTCTCTGCAACTATAAATGCTAATTACCATATCCTTCCCCACCCCAACAAACACATTCTGATTCAATCTGTTTCTATCTAGTCAATAGACAATGCCACTTGGTCACTGCAGTTCATGTCTCTGTCTTCAGAATCTGGGAGGCTGGGCCAAGACTATCACATGTTGAATTCTAAGAAGCAGAACTGAGGGAATTAGCAAGCTTTTAACTGGGAACCCACAAAAACTAGGGCTAGGTGTTTAATTGAGTAAGAATGCACTACAGGCAATAAGCAGGAGTGAATGGAAATCTAACCAAAAACAAATACAGAGATTGCCAAGAGAGTGTGGGCAACATAGAGGGATCATACAGGAGTGAGAGTGAGAGTGAGAGAGAGTGTCATAGAGAGAGACATACAGACAGACAGGCAGAGGGTGAGAAAGAGACACACACAACAAAAGAAAGAGACAGAGACAGAAAGACAGAAGGAGACAGAGAGACACACAGAGAGAGATACTGAGAATGAGAAAGAGTGCCAAAATTAGAGGTAATGAGAGTCAGAAAGTTAAAGAAGATGAGAGAGAGAGAGAGAGAGAGAGAGAGATGACAGAGAGATGACAGAGAGATAGAGAGACAGAGAGAGAGAAAGACAGACAGATGGACAGAGAGAGACATATAGACAATAAATGAGAGAGACATGGAAAAAGAGAAAAGACTGAATGATAAAAACAAGTGATAGCAGAGGGTGAACAGAGACTCGGAGAGAAAATATGAGCATGAGGCAGACAGAGAGAAGTAGAGAGACAGAGAGAAAGAAAAACAGAAGCAGAGAGAGACAGAGAGAGAGAGAGAGAGAGAGAGAGAGAGAGAGAGAGAGAGAGCTGAAAAGACAAGGAGAGAGAGCTAGAAATTGTGAGATAAATGAAAAGCTTTTACTCTAGTGGGTACCAAGGAATATGCATGGGAGTTGTGTGCCTGAAACCTGAGGGTTGTATGTTCAATAGCAGCATGGGCTATTGTGGGAACAGTTGGTCAAAGATGAGAAGCACAGACTGAACCTAGTCATGTGAGTGCCACCAAAAAAGAGAAATATTTGTAAGACCTCAGCCATTCCAGGAGCCTTGTGTGTGCTGCAATGTTAATATTGTTGTTTTTCTTTTCCTTTTTCAGGCACTAAGTCCCTGTGTCTTGCAGGCTGGCCTCAAACTCACTGTGTATCACATAGTGTGATTGAATTAATGACAAACTTGTGGTCTCAGCCTGTCTGGTGCCATGATTATGGGCATGGGCTTCTACCAAGTCCTGGCTCATCCCTAGCAGATGTTGAAATGAAAAATGGAAGCACAACCAAAGGATTTTTACTAGTGTTTTTTGGACTGTAGTCTTGAGTGGATCCATAATGGGCTTTGGGCAACATGATTCTTCATGAAAGTACATAAGAGGATGAAAAATCCCCTTCTGTGGACAAGAGGTGAGCACTCCTTGCCTCTGACCTGAGAGCACAGCATGCCAATGTCAAGAGTGCCCTGCATGGTCTCTACAAGTGCTACACAAAGATATGACACCTGCTCATGTTGATCAGGTGTCCTGGGCTCCATGGAAGAGGCATGGGAACAACACAGAACCAGGGAGTCAGTGCTGTCGTGTTATGACCAACTCCACTCCCAGCTCTCCACACCAATTACCTCCTGTCTATCACCACCATATGCAGCCAGCCACCTGCCTTCCTACCCATCTCACAGACAGGACCCACAAGAGAACTGCCATCTTGAAGGAGGTACATAGTACAAGATCGATTTGAATTGGAAAAGGATGTGAGAGACCTGCTGCTGCCTCCATGTTTGAATTCTAAGTTGAAGCCTGAATCAAATGCCATTTTGTGTCCTCCTCTATGTATCGGTGTCCATGCATTTACTTTGGAGTGTTGACACATTGTGTCACTGTTGGCTTGGGGGTATCCTTGACTTCATAACATATGCCAGGCTGGCTGAAATTGCCTGCAGTTCATCTGGGCCAACTTCCCAAAAGATGGGATATAAGATGGGCCTCCAATCCCATCAAATTTGCATCAGATGGCACCTGTTAGGAGATTTGTGTGGGACTAGAGATTTAGTTCTCAGAACATGTGGAAAGGGATTCAGAGTCCTTGCAAGACACAGGATCCAATGGAAGGGCTAGACAGCAGGTGGACAGAAACGGTGGAAACTGCATTAGATGTGAGGTGAGGAAAGTCCAAAGAGAGAGAAGAACAGAGAGTTCTTTCCTTCTGCCCAATGATTTCTGATATCTGTGAGCACCACACTGCCTAAAAGGAACACATGAGGGATGATATGACAGGTGACTACAGCAGGTGAGGCTAGGCAGCTAAGGGGCTGCTGGGTTGCGAAAGCTGCCCCAGACCCTGGAGATGGCCTCGCCCCAGGTAGGCGTGGCCAACAGCTGGCTGGAATCTTCGGATACTCCCACTGCACCTGAGGGCCTCTAAAAGCCCTGCACTACTCCTCCTGAAACTGAGAAGTATTCTGACCGTCCCAGCTCTGTAGAGGCTTCCAAGCTGAGTGCAGCTGTCTGCCATCCTCATTCGACTTGGAAAGAGGCCTGGGTGTCTGCACTTCTGGGAGCACACTCTGGTGAGTCTCAACCACCAAACGTGTGGTCCTAGGTCCAGTGCCCATGGCTGCGAGGGCAGAAATTCCTAGGTGGAGACAATGGGATCTGTAGCAGGGGCTTGTTCCAAGCAGTAGGATGAGGTAAAGGTGCTCCCTTTCTTCCAGGTGCATTGTACTGGATGAATGTTCAAGAGAAGTGAGCACAAAGTTCTCATTGCATGAGGCAAACTTGTCATCCTCCTGCAGGAGTCTGTCCAGGGCTGCTATATCGGGGCTGGTATGTTCTCAATGGCGTGATTTTTGCATTCAAAGAATTATAAACACACAGTATCATAAGATGGGATAAAATCTATACAGAAATATATATATATATATATATATATATATATTTATTTATACAAGTGTTTCTATGTATATCTTTCTATTTGTATATACCAATATTAGCATGTGTGAACAAAAGATACATACAATAGACTTGTACTACCTTTTTCTTTTTGAAGTCTCTCCTCTGATGTGTTTGCTTCTCTTTTTGCCCCATGCATTAAAATCTATTTGTGCTGCAAATTCCTGATCTTGGAGAGTTATCCTGATGGCTTGCAATCCTCATTTCAATATTGTGATAAATTTCACATTTAATGCTCTGTGGCATCTGTCAAATTTGAGATATCGCAGTTTGGGTTATATTCACCTAAAGGGTTTTCTAGCTTCCCTGGTGATTTCTTCTTGGATCTTGGTCCAGCTGGTGTCTAGATGTTTCCTGGAAAGCCCTCATTCTTCAAAGTTGGGCCTTTCTTTGAAAAGTGCCTTGATGGAGAGTGTGGAAGACTGAGATAGGCTCCTGGTGTAATGCTAGGATGCAGTGTACTAAGCTTAATTCTGTGAGCATTATATGCCTTCAGTAGTGTAGTTCATATAGAAGTGATAGAACCAATTATGGTCCTGAATTTCTTGTTGGCACCGGTAGTTTTTCCCACCATGAACTTTATCTCCTCTGCAATGCCAGTGTGCCATGCTGTGGTGCTTTGGAGTCAGCCATGAACAAATTGAATCTCTAGAAACTGTAAATTAAAAGAAAATATTGTCCTTTCACTGTGTGTGTGACAAGGAGGCTTTTTTCAATCCTAATGATAGTCACAGATTCACAGGCAGAAAGAGACATAGACCGAGAGAGACACAGAGAAGCAGAGAGACCTAAGTAAGAAGCACACAACACACACACACACACACACACACAGAGAGAGAGAGAGAGAGAGAGAGAGAGAAAGAGAGAGAGAGAACTCAAAGAATGTGAGACCTACTTTTGTTTCCAATAGAAGGAACCTGTTGAGTACTGAAATTTTACAGAGAGATCCAGAGACTGTTTCCAAAGCAAAATGTCTGCTGGGTGGTTGGGTTTTGGGGATGTGATTATAGAATGAGATTCCCTGGAGGGTTCTTAGTTGGAATGTCTTGAGTGGATGCAAATCTGTGAGGATCTGGAGCCACATATGTCCAGTCTATGATAAGACCCTTCTCCCTGGCTCTGTCTTTCCAGCTTTCTGAAATTTTGTTTGGTCCCATTTGCATTTGCTGAGAAATGCTGGGCCTGGGGCTGTATGCTTGAAATGCCAGCAGTCAGGAGACTGAGGCAAGGGAAAAGGCCTTGAGTTGCAAGCCATTGAAGGAGCTAGCTAAAGCCTGTGTGAGAAATGCAAGAAATTGATCCATCGGGGCTCCTTGGACCTGGTGTCATGGCAGGCACTGGATGAGATCAAGATTGAAAGGACACTCTTTGGAAAGAGATGCTAGTAAGATATGTGGGGAACAGTGCACCTTTTCAAAGTGTTGGCCAGGAGCTCTCTGCAGGCAAGGCAGGGTACTTGTACTTCCTTGTGCAGCTTTGCCATGCCTGGTAGAGAGTCATATTGGCAGAATTGTCCCACAAAGAATTCCAAGTACATGTGGAAAGTGCGCAGGCCCAGTGTAGATGTGTGCCAGGCATGTAGGCCAGGGAATAGGCTGAATGGACTAGGATAGCTTGGGTGGGATGGAGAGAAGTGTATGTCTATTTAGGCTTGGACCTGGGATGGAGACTTGATCTTGTCATTTTCTGGGTAGGATCCCACAGCTGCAAATCGATGGAGTCCTCAGGCCATAGCAATATGAACCTCTACTTGGAGACAATGGAAGAAATCAATGACATCCTATATGAGTTCTCTCATCCAAACAGGGAGCATGGGAAAGTCCATTGCATCCCAGAACCACACCTCTGCATGCCTCCCACAGCTGCTGGTGAAAGCAGCCAGCAGGGCTCAAGTCAAAGCCAAGCCATGCCACCCTCCAGGTCCCCAGAGATGACTGGTGGCTTCAGGAGTGTGCACACCCAGCTCCAGATGAAGGCCTTGAGGCAATCCTTGATGAGCTGACAGCTTTTTCACCAGAAGTCTCAGGCCATGAACCATGGAAAGAACTGGCCCACAACACACTAACAGAAGACCCCCTTCTCTGGATTTCCCCATTTATCACTCCCTGATTACCATAAGACCCATGTCACTGCAAGCAAGCTGATTGTCCCTGAGGGTGGTGGTCCGATGCATGACACAAGGGGTCAGAAGACTCTCAATGGAATCCAGATGAGCACATTGTGGGAAGATCCCGTCATCATCTTTGAGGACAATCTGACCCTCTCTGAGACCCCAGTGACAGTCCTCTTGTGTCAGCAGATTTTCCACTGCGGTGCCATGGCAAACCATGTTTGTGACCAAAGCCTCTACATGAAGCAGATGACAAATGCCTCGAGTGGTCAGAGGCTCAATGGGGCCAGATGGTGATTTTAACCAATGGCCAGAAACTCAGTGGAGTATATCAGCTTGTAGCAGTGCCACGGCCTGGACTCATAGACGTGTAGGAATACCTGGCATCAAGGAACAACTCCCAGAACCAGAATGGGAGTTTCCAGGTGAAGAGGTAAAAACTGCGGATGAATTCCCAGAGATCCAGGCCATATGTCTGCCCACACCAGGACTGTGGATAATCTTACATGAGGCCTACTCACTTGCATGTTCACCACTGAACACACAGTGCTAAGTGTGGTGCGAGTGCCAGGGAGGTGCAAGTGGCCCTGATTGGTGTGTTTATAAAGCTTCACATAGTTCCTTGGGCATTCATGGTTTCCAACAGCACTGTTGCTGGGCCTTCAATCTAGCTTCTTCCCATGAGAGCTTCTCTCTTATGCTAGGCTCTACCACTGAGCTCCATCTCCAGTTGTCTTTTCCTCTTCCTTCCTGTCCTCCACACTTCGTTTCTTGTTCTTCCAAGAAGAACAAGAATTGGTGCAAGGGAAATGTCTCCTCGATTTTATGGTCCTGACCCTTAGCTCCTCAAATGCTAAGGGACTTCATCACCCACTTGTGAGTTTTACTGTCAGAGCATCTTGCCAAATCATCAGGCTAAGTGTGTTTGGTGGCTCACAAAGCCATGCACATACACCTCCTATAATTCTTCCTCTTCCCTGGCTTCCAGCCTGCTTCCCCCTGTCTCTCCCTCTCCAACTCCTTCCTACTTTGCCTTTCCCTGGTTCTTTCCCAAATGACTGCCTCATACCCCAGCACAGCCTAACTAGCATCTCTCTCTCTCTCTCTCTCTCTCTCTCTCTCTCTCTCTCTCTCTCTCTCTCTCTCTCTCTCTCTCTCTCTCTCTGCTCTCTCTCTCTCTCTCTCTCTCTCTCTCTCTCTCTCTCTGCTCTCTCTCACCTAGGCCAAAAGCCCTATGCATGCAATGTTCAAGGATGTGAGTGGAGATTCAACCACTCAGATTAGCCAAAGTGACACATGGGAAAGCCCACTGGGGAGCAACCCTAAATGAGTCACACCTACCAGAAGAAGTTTCTGAGGTTCAATCACGTTACACAGCATCAGAGTCCCCAACTGATTTCCCCACCGACTGGCACTCAGCAGACTACCAGGAACTCTGCATACATTGGACATCCCCCCTGGGCCTTTGCTCTTGATTTCTACCCATCTCTCTACTAATGCCTAATAAATAGCTTACACCTGCCAACTTGCTTTTCTTTTCATTATTTGCTCAAGCAAGGGAAAAGGCTTTTGTGGCTTTGGCTGTAGAGACTTAGCACTGTACACATTCAGAGTTATAGGAGCACCCTTCTTTCATCTCCCTCTCTAGGGCAATGATGCCTCTGGTCTGTGCATCTGAGGATTTGCTCTCTAGAGGCAGTACTGGTATGATACATTTGATCCACATTTTGGCCCAAGCAATTTCTTTGTCTTTTTTGAGATGGGGTCTGGCTATGTAGTTCAGGCTGGACTTGAGCTTATTTTGTAGCCTTGGCTGGTCTCGAACTCACAATGATCCCCCCAACTCAGCCTCCCTAGTGCTGGAATTACAGGCATGAGCCACCTTGCACGGATGCCCAAGTGACTATTTCCTTTAAGTCTTTCAATCCTATCTCTGGTGTGAAAAGGGCAGGACTCTTTGCCTTGGCCTCTACTGAGCATGGTGGCACACAGCAGTGTTCCCAGCTACCTGGGATTCTGAGGCAGGAAGTCTGCAATCCCAGATCCATCTGAGTAAATCCTTTATTACTTGGATTCCATCCTCTGTGGCTTCCACATGGTGCCACCATGCAGTTGAAGAAGAGCTCTCAGATGCTGCCATAATCTTGAATCCATCTCTCAAGGAGGTGTATGTGCATGGCTTTGTGAGCCACCAAACACACTTAGCCTGACGATTTGGCAAGATGCTCTGACAGTAAAACTCACAAGTGGGTGATGAAGTCCCTCAGCATTTGAGGAGCCAAGGGTCAGGACCATAAAATCGAGGAGACATTTCCCTTGCACTAAGCTCTTAGAATAGGAGGCAATGGGCAAGCATATGGGGAAAGTTTCTTTGGCCTGATGGTTTGGTTTACTTTGGGTGGGAACTGATGAACTGCCTGTCTGTGTGACCTGTGGATCAACAATGGCCCTTCCAAGGGATGGATGTGAGAGGATTACCCTCAGAGGGTAACTCAGAATCAAATGGCAGACATAAGGAGGCTTGGGTATCATTGCTGCATTAAATGGCCTCCCTAGGACCTCGTTACCTTGCTCCAGGATCCCCCTTCTAAGGACCTCAACCCCTCTCAACAGCAGCCTGACTTTGGGATGATTCTTTCAATGTGGGCACATGAAAATCACCTTTAGGATACAAACTAGAATTGCTGTGGACATCAACATTTTTCTCAGCCCCTCCTTCACCTCTCCAATTGTGGGACTAGAGATTTAGTTCTCAGAACATGTGGAAAGGGGTTCAGAGTCCTTGCAAGACACAAGATCCAATGGAAGGGCTAGAGAGCATGTA